ACACACACACACAGCCTCTCGACAATATGCGTTTTTGCTGGCTGTAGCAGCGCTGCTATAGCGCTGTACAGCAAAAACGCATAAAAACCCAATCTAGGGCCATGCTTGCAAATTTTCAGCTTTCTTTGTCTGTTTCATTTCCAAGACTATCAATTTTGCAGCCATCTGCGCGCGAAATGTAGGCTTATGTAAAAGTTGATTTTACGCTTTCGATGTTACAAATGGGCGGGACATTGAGCTTTACAGCTTTTTGATTCCCAAGATCACACTTAAATCTCACACAGAGTATATGCAAGTTTTGATGTGAAATTCACTATTATAGGAATCACACAAGTTGCAAAATCGATATTTTAGGATGATATCTTGTGCGATAATATAAATTTAATTGCAATACGCGTAAGTTCCAAGCAATGCACATGAAATTTCATGTAAAAATTTTCTAACTCAGGAATCAGACAAGGTTTCGACTATTTTTGCACATTTTGTAAAGCAATAAACATTTTTTAAGTGGTCTGCCAGACAAATCTGCGCGCAACATGTGACAGCACCGCCTACCTGGTATGCGTAGTTACTTATTCAGTCCATTCGTCACAAACTACCAAAAAATCTGATTGTAGCTTTCTGTGCTAATGCTGGCCTGCATCTGAATACTACATCGTATGCCAGAGCAAAGATAGATTTAAAATTTGATTTGAAGACATTGAACATGCACTAATTTTGAATAAGTTTTACACCAAAGCATTACTTTGGTGTAAAACCCAGGCTGGAGCGCATTAGACGAGCCGGTGCGATCATGCATTTGCACAGTTTCTTGCGGATTTTTAGTGCTGCGTTAATACGATTTGTGCTCGCGCTGGCTTTATTGAATATCTTTTATTTATTTCATTTTCCCTTAAACATCATTATTGGGTCATATTAGTAGATCACTTGCGCATTATCTGCGTTATTGGTCATTGCAAATTCAAATTATCCTAAAGATGGCTTCATTTGATGTGATGAGTACGTGTAGTGGTTTCCCAGTAAGTACTTATGTTCTTGCGCTACGAGTCGCGAAAATCGGATCTTGGCTGCCGGTTGCGATTGCTGCTTACTGTTGTGATAAAGCAGATCTATACTTTAATTATTTTATGCGTCATATCTGGCCTAGATGGGCTCATGAGTTCTAGTCAGAGAGACGTATGTGTCGTGACATATGTTGAAATTGTTTACAACCAGGTCAAAGGTCATATTTGCATTGGTAGTGAGTACATTTACATTCCAAATTTTTAGCCCTAATTTTTCCACCGTTTCCTTAAAACGGGGATTTACTGCTTCAGAAATGTTGTGATTAAAATCACCTAGTGTTGGTTTCCGTCCCTCTTCCGCAGTACATCTCGCTAGAAACGACCGAATGGTGCCGACTGTTAATAAGCAGAACACTCACTGAGCTTATGATGTACACTGTAGCTGTGGAGTGTGCGCGCAACAATGCCGCAACTGAACGAGCAAAGCAGCCGTCCGCTAAAGGGCAACACGCATGTCACAGCTGGCACTTCGCAGGATTTGCGTATGCTCCTGCAATGAGCAAATTGCGTAGTTTTAAAACAGTTACATCTACCCGGTCCTCATTTTCTCCAGTTCTTATGGAGGATGGGTTGCGGTTATCACCCAGCAGGCGCTGCGATGCCAAGCAGCGTGCTCCACAGGCTCTTCTTGCCGATCCCGTGCAGTCAACACGTGCAACCGCCTTGTAACCGCTGATGTTAATTTCATCTGTGGGCACTGCCCAAGTCTCTTCGCTTGCTGTGTAGACGGTGTCATTATTCATCTGGCCGCAGCGCTTTGCAAAGCTTTGTACATTGTGATATACAATCTGGACAGCGGAGTGCTCTGTTCGGAGAAATTTGAAATGGGGTTGAAATAAGCAGTGATCCTGTCGCCTCAGTTCAACTCGCAATGGCTCATTTGGATGCGGGTGGCGAGGCGTGGTGAATGTGCCAGTTATGTACAGCCCAGAAAGTGACGTAACTCTGGCAGCGCTACGTACAGCAAAGCCTGAGTTCCTTGTTTAGATTAACTGAAAAAGATCAGCTGCGTGTAAGAGGCTTATGAGCTTAATGTACGCACGCAGTTGTATATGCGATAAATTCTCGGCATTCAAAATGCCGGAGAATATCTCGATTTACTCCCCATATGCAGAACATACATCGATTGATGGATGATGATGCATACGTGCATGGCGGCGTACTGTAGAACAGTGCTCGGTCGACCACTGCGCTTTCTCCACATGGTCACGTTTACGCTTGCTGTGTATGCCTGTGCGGTTGTATTCGTTTGTTCAGCTTGAAGAGGGTCTTCGTCATGAGGAGTGCTGCTGGACGTGGTGCGGTAAAGCTTGGCACAAGTCGTGAGAGCGGAAGCGGGGGGGAGGGGGGGGGGGGGGGTTAGCTTACCTAGCTTTTCCCCCACTTCTAGTGCCTAAGACTATTACGTGCATCTGGCACAGCAAAAGCGCCCTGCGATATGCTACTATTGTATTTCTAGATATGCTGTCCCTTGACCTCTCCCGGCATACAGGAGAAAGGACGTCGGTTGGGATGAAGGTATTGCATCATAGGGCGGCATGGACCACGAGGTACGTGATTACCAGCTTTTTACATGGAGCTCGGTCGTTTTTTTCGGCAAATACTCGCTTTGTGAAAAAATGACAAATGTAAATTTTTTGAAAAAATGCAAATT